TAGTTATTTTAATTAATCTCCTTTAGAGAAACATATAAATTTATATATATGGTTTGTCGTATCGTCCGATACGCTATTCGTATCAACCAATTTACACTAATTTTATTCGAAATCATTATAATATGATCGTGATTAATACCGCAATCGTAATCTATACTACTAAAAATGGCTATAACATATCAATAATAAAATGGACTCATTGATGCTTGATGTACTAGCTATAAAGCTCTCTTTCTCTGCTTTCATCATTGAAAATAATGGAACCCACCCACAATTATTGATGTTCACAAATTGCCATTTTCTTCCAGCAAATATCATGTGAATGTACAAGGACATTCATGAAGCTTCAATTCTTAAGAGGAAAAGAACAAATGTGCGTGTGAAAAGAGACAATATTGTTTGTGTACTAGGCCAATAAGAAAACCAACCAATGAAGAAAAAGATATATCAATTTTTTTGAGCAAGTGATCGAATGGACTACGTTAAGTTTAGTGATTGTGATTATATTTTAGCCATCACTGGAATTATTATTTTTATCTTTTGCTAGGATATTTTTTGTTTATATATATATATATATATATATATATTGACAGACATAATGATGATTCTAATTTTGTGTGGTCTTGCTTGTGTTTCACTCCTCGAAAGCTTTGCAATCAATGTGAAACAGAATCTTAGTTTAAGATATAAATCAGCATTATTATTTGAAAAATGAATGACCTAGTCACATTGTGTCCATCATTGTACCTTCAAAAATGGTAATGACATTACAACACTTATTTTATATAGACAATATAATTTTAAAAAAAAAAAAAATTAGGTTTATATTCAATCCACTAATATGTCGGTCTATCCTTGATTAAACGAAAATTATATAAGTCATATTAGTCATGAAAACCGTAAAAGAAATAACCAATTAATGTATCACAACTTAGCCAAAAATTCATTTCAAATTCAAATCAAACATTCTTGAACTGGGAACCTCTGTTGCGTAGTAGTGGTGCTGTATCGTATTAGACGAACCCTAACACACGAGAGTGAATACTCATATGTGCAGAGACTGATATTCGTCTGATTTTGTACAGCATCGTGACGGAGAATCCCACCTCAATGCTACCATCTTCAGTAATGAAATTTAAAAAATACATGTAATTTTTTTTATTAAATATATATATATATATATTTGAATGACCTAGTCACTTTGCATCAATAATTGTAGCTTCAAACATCATAATGACATTTCAATAGTTATTTTATATAAATAAAATCAAAAGTTAGGTTTATATCAGATCCATCACTAGGTCTAACCATGCATGATTAAACAGAATCACAGGAGTTATATTAATTATGAAAATTATTAGAGAAAATATTTAATTAATAAACCACAACTTAGCCCAAATCTCAATATTATCCTGTTAGAATTATCTGTGTGGTGTTGTGATGTATTAAATGAATTTCAACTCACACACATGTGCAGAGAGATCGTTTGATACTGTACAGAATTCTGGGTTTAATACTGTAAAGAAATATATGTATATATATACACACACATGATCAAACAAACAACTACGAATCTGAACACATGTTTCCCAGAAATATCTGATCTTGCATTATGATATATGAGAGAAAAAGATGAGGCAAAGCTTTGGTAAATCCAAACCACACATTTTCAACTAACAAAAGATATCTTAATCCCGCCATCTCAACCATACTTTGGCGGGACAAGAAATTCTCCTTAAATGACAAAAATAACCCTGATTTGTCCGTTTATATTTAAGTGAAACTCCGTATATCACCTGGAGATAATAAAAGAAGTTAGTTGTGGATGTGGTGGACAGTTGGACACACAATCCTGATCAGATATGGCTTCCCAAACACCCCTTTTTGTTTTACTAATTCTGTTTCCAAACACGACTTTATGAACATTCTAGATATGATTTGGTGTCCTGTCCACATCCTTGGTGTTGCACATCAATTCCATCACCACCATTCATTCAAATCCAGCGGTATCAGTTTTCAGATCAAAATCTAACGGTAGGAAACAAGTTAAATTGAAATGCAATGTGCTTATTGCCATTAGGTGTTTATTTAATAGATATTTCTTAATTACTTTTTCAGAAGAAGTATTGAGTGGGCTTGGTGCACCAGACTCAAGTCATAAGTATTATGCGTGTATAAATTGAATGAATCTGATGCACGGTTTTAAAGGCAACTAATATTTATCTATTATTTTTTTTAAAGCACGTGTATTGACCTCACAATACACACATTATTTAAGTCAAAAGTACGATTCGTTCTGGAACAATATCTTTTCTTTTAAAATCACAGACATTTTTTACCCTAAAATAAATAAGGTAAATAAAACAATATTCCATAAAATAGAATAATATAATGTTCTCCAATCCATCATAGGAATCTATAACACCTCACTACAAGAAATTCTAACATGTGACAAAATGCAGACCAAACAATTGATGTTGTAAAAATCTAAAAGATTCGTGATAAGGTTATTCAATTCTCATAAAAGAAAGAAAAAATAAAATTAAAAAGAAAAAGAAAAAAAGTTATCATTGATTATGCTTTTATATAAGTTTAACCGTTTCCGAATCTAACTTTTCCCATGATTATTTTTTATTTTATTTTATTTTATTTTTTGCGTGAAATTCAACCATATTTAGTGATAGAACTCGACACCATAAATTTCATTTGTTTGAATTTCAGTAATTTAAACAATAAATTTATCATTTTTATGGATTTCAACATTATAAATTTCACCATTTTTATAATTTTAAAACCTTAAATAATGAATTTTATTATTTGTATAGACGAGTGTAATCTTGTATTTAAAAAGTTATTGGAGAGAATTTTGATTAATACAATATTGCCCTTCTTTATAGACGTTTACTCTATTATATATATATATATTGAAATTTAAAATAAATGTATTATAACATGGTTTAACTGCGGTAAAAAAACTTTATAGACTTGGCACTGTTACACGATTCAAACGTTACAAAACATGTCACTTTCTGTAATGAATTCTCACTTACTCGACTGGTCGTTAGTTGTTGCTGAGCAGACCACCACCATCCTTAAAACCTGTATAGCCGTTGGGTGTATATATCTATCTATCTATCTATATACACCACTTTTACAGTTGTTGTCTAAAATATCGCAACCAATGGTGAAAAAGGGCCTCAGCCACTCGTACAATCCACCATAGGCCTGCAACAGACAAGTAGCTTTAACTCTTTTAACCTACTCTCTCCTTTTTCTGTCAGTCTCAGCCCTGTTATTATTTGAAAATACATAAACTAATTCCAAGATACTTTTATGATATATATATTTTCTTTTTTGTTAGTGATCACACATGTATGCTATTGACCTCGTCCAAGAAGTAGGGGTTTGGTTATCCTATTTTGAGATATTGTTACATGGTTCTAAACTATTATTTTTCCTTCAATCATCATGTGACATATCAATAAAAAAAAAAAATTAAAACTTATGTATTTGTAATGTATTAGTTAACATGTCACATGGTGATAAATTCGGAATTAATAATTTTGAGACCAAGTAATAATTTTTCACCCTACTCAAATCTTATATTTACTTTTTGGTCAAGTTTGGATCATCTCTTGTAGTTCCTTTGATGATGTAGCTGTGGAAGCATTTTTCAACCATCAACACAATTATGTACATTTTTCCACACATTATATTTTGTGTGTTGAACTGTTTTGAAAATGTATTGAAATGTAAATGAAATATGTTGAAAATAAAATATAAGTAAACTGTTGAGCGTTTATTATTTAGACTTTCCTTGGCTGGTTGCTAGAAGATTACTTTGAGTGTAAAAAGTCAATCATATCCATAATTTTCATAAAAGGAAATGACAAGAACCAAAAAAGGATAAGATTTCATATAAGGGATATAAAATTTGGTTAATAGGTCTGTCAAATAGAAAACATTAAGATTGTCAATGAGCATATACCAAATTTTAAAAAATGTCAAAGTAATAAACTCTTTACTAGGGATGGCAATTTGACCCGCACTCCCGGTTACCCACCCCACCCCACCCCACCCCACCCCGTCTTATTTTTGGCGATTTTAGAGGACCGTTTTGTTTATTTGGGCGGGAATGGTTTGATGTGATAAAAACTCAGGCGAGTTTGGTGCGGGGCTGGAAAAGGTCGCTCCGCATCGCACCGTTTAGATAGACAAATTACTTAAATATATTTATTTCATTAGTATATATATTTTCTACTATATATTATGTACCATATATAATAATATTAAAGTAACAAATGAATTTGATTAAAAAGAAAGTTACAATGGTAAAGAATTAAAGATGAGGGAAAAAAAAAAGAGCAATTCTATTTCAATAATAAATAAATTATGGTCCTAAACTGGGCGAGGCGGGTACTCGCATGGTAAAAATGTTAAACAGTTACGGGAATGGAGTGAAAAATTCTCCCGTTTTTACAATTTTAGACGAGAATGGGGATGGAATTTTTAAACGATTGGAGGGACGAAAGAAGGTACACCCGCCCCGTTGCCATTCCTACTCTTAAGGGTCACTTGTATGTAATTCACCTCAACTTCAAAAAAGGGCCAATATAAATTTCTCCTAAATATATTTGCGTTGAAAAATATTGCTAGCACCAAAAAAAGTACGCTATACGCGGACACATCGTAACCATTCATATGAACGTGTGTTGTAATTAAAACAAAAAATTTACGATGTTTACTGTGCATCGAGCACATTGTATATTTTCTCCTCCATGCATCTCAGTATCTCTCTCTAAAACATTAATTCCATTAAATATTCTCACTTTCCTCATCAGTTATTTTGACTGGACCTCCACTTTCCCTCCTTTGCTCTCTCTATATAATCCTTTCCACCCCCTTCTCTCTCTCCTCATCCAACCTTTTACAACCTTCATTTCCTCCACCCTCTCTCTCTCTCTCTATATCTAAAACTCTTTTTTTCTCTCTCTCTAAAAATGGCGGAAACATCATCCAAACGACAGAGGGAAGAAACCCATGTCGAAGATTGCGAAGACCCAAAACGATACAAATCATACAATCACATACTCTCCATTCTCGAAGATGAAGAGGACGAGAGTAACCAAGACCTCTCCTCTTTCCTCTCGACCCTTCAGCAGGAACTCTCCTTCGACTCCATCGCCACCGTTGATCCTCTGCCCTGCCCCACATCGGAGGCCGAAACGCATAACTGCGCTGTAGGCTCGACCGCATCTGATTACAGCCCGGTTTCTTCTTCACATGTGTTGAAAGAAGAAGATGGGGAGAGGGTTATGAGACACCTTCTGGAAGCGTCCGATGATGAGCTGGGGATACCCCACAGAACGGACGGTGGTGGCGGTGGTGGTGATGATGATCGTGATGTGATCAACGGTGGAGATCACGCGTTCGCTTTCTCTGATGGGTTGTGGGAGTTTGAGGATCATGAGGCTGCCAACTACTACGCGTTGTTACAGTCTGAACTTTTCATGTAGACTAGTTTTGGGGGGGCTAGAAAGTAAAAATGGGGAAATTTGGGGGGGTTTTACGCAATTAAGACAGAGTGGAGAAAGTAAAAAATGAGGATATTTTTGGGTTTTCATTTTGGTTCCCTCTTCTTTTGTAAAATAGCACAAGTATCCCCCATTCTCTCTATTAGAAAATCAAAATGTAGAAGAAAAAGTGATTCACCATTCATATATATATTCCCCTGTAACCCATTTTCTTTTATTAAAAATTAAAGATAATTGATATTGGCACCCAAATTTTGTTTCTTTTCTTTTATTTTTATTATTGTTTTTATTTATTTTTTTTGATACCAAGGTCTCTCCAGTAATTGTGCTTGGACTTTTTTTTTCCTTCAAAAGGGCACAGAACACACAAGACTCTCACGTAGTGCTTTGTTTAACTCCTGAAAAATATATATATATTAATATGTGTATGTATATTTGAATCTAAATATCAAAATAGTGGAATTTAAATACCTAACTTTCTTTAGAGATTGTTGCACATATTTTATCTCGAGATGTGATATTGGCTTTTCAAAAATTTGCAAAAGTCTTTGGCTCTACACTAATTGAATCTAAATATAAAAAATAATGTTATTTCCTTCTATCTTTTACATGCAGTGCATTTGTATGAAATAAAATATAAGAAATGGGAAATAATAGCAAATATGAGAGGGAGATCTGGATATTGTGAATTAATTCTTTTTATGGTTGGATCGTTAAAGAGGAAATTAAAGGGAAAATAGTTTTATTTTCTTATTTTGTCAGTAGAGAGATTTTTATCTTTTCATTTCAAGTCCTCTCAATCTTTTAACTGTTAGTCATCCTAGTCAATCTTGCCTTTATTCCGTTCTTTCTGCGGTATATATTATCTCCTTTCAATTTTTTTCTATGATAAGTAATTTTTTCTACTCAATTAATTTTTTAAAATTATTTTTTAACACTTTGTTCTATGTTAATTTTTGTCGACCCCTTTACCCTTGCTCTATACAAAAAAATCTTCTCCCAGATTAATGTTGAATACGTTCGTACTACCTAAGTCTACACCCTTTTTTTCTTAAAAGGCCTTACATTTAACAAATAACTCACTCTAGCTCCCAATTTTATTTTATTTTTAAAATTTATTCTTCCAATTTCTTAGTTGGATATGAAAGTTGACATACAACTGATTTAGCACTTGACAAGGGAAAATGATATTTTGGTAATGTTTCTATTCTTAAAGATACAAAGCTACTATTGAATGCTACAACTACCTAAAAAATGTTAATAAGAACGAATTTAAGAATAGAGTATGAAAGTGGGCGAATTTAAGAACAAGAACATGAAAACGAGTGAATTTAAGAACAAGAACATGAAAGATATAAAGTTAAATTACAAATAGTGAGAACTATACTGTATCGCGCGTGGAGAAAACAATAGCGCGTTCGAAACATGAGAGTGAGCAACTGTTGAAAAGAAATTGTGTAACTTATAATGGACCCATATCATATCATAGGTGTCATATCATATCATGAACTAATTAGATTTTTTTACAAATGTTTTTCCTTGAGTGTTTCATGTGACTATGTCAATATTTAATGGGTCAATAATACAGTATCGTCAATATTGGAGTAGTATTCAAAATATTGGAATTGTCAAATTTCCTATTTCTATATTCATTTTTCTATTGATGTAGGTATATGGGATTTTTATGAAAATTATGTGATGATATTCTAGAATTGAAGAACCCATTATTGACTTTTTGTTTTAAGAAGGGACGTGAATTATTAACTTATCACACTTTGAGTAAAAATATTTGAGATATAATCTTTAAAAATAACAATTTGTTTAAGTAAGATTGCATTAACATTTATACACTATTAAAATACTCTCACACCTCAAATAATTATTTTCAAGTCACTCTTATATTTATAGAAAAAATAATAATAATAGTTGCACTTCATTTTTCTTCACTTACATTTTCTTTACTTTTTATTTTTAAAAAATGACTTTAATTTCCTTTCAAAAACACTCCAACACACACCTCACTTTTAAGAGTATTTTTGTCATGTTGATTATTATATAAAAATTTAAATAAAGCTCTTATCATAGTTCGTCGTATTGGTCGATATGCGATCCTTTTTCAAATTCGATACGCTATTTGTATTGACCCATTTATACTGATTTTGTACGAATCAGTTACATCGCAATCATGACCAATACAGCGAACACGACTAATATAGAGAAAAATAAGAAGTATTGAATATTATTCATTAATAAAAAAAATATGCAATTTTTTTTTTTTTTTTTTTTTTTTTTTTTTTCTGCATCTTGACTTGAATGAGACGCATATATTAAAATTTAAAATCCTTGGATCCTTACAATACGCCAAGGGCTGAAGGGCACGTTAGACAGCTTTGGATTCTCTCTATCATTTCATTTTCCTATATTCAGTCAGGAGTTCTATCATTGAATCGACTATGGGTTATATCACACATTCAAAACGCATTAATATTTTTTGAACAGAATAATTCTCTAAATGAGTGTCGTTTTCACGCTTTATACCTGCTATTTTTTGTAAGTATTTTGATTCTCAATCTAATTTTATAGTAGTTAAATTTTGTGACTTTTATGCTCCAAAGCTCCTACTTACATGCTTTCCTTACACAAGACGGACTCAATTTTTAAATATATATATATATTTTCAAAGGATGCAAAACTCTAATGCAAAGATAAATTCAGTTTTTTTTATAATATTTATTTATTTCACGATAATAATAATAATAATAAACTTAAAAGTGCATGTGAAATATCAAAATTTTTATTTTTGTATAAAAAATGTGTATTACATTGAATTACTAAAATACCCCTCTACCTAATATACGTACAAAAGTTTGCAAGATTTTAGTTATTTCCCCCCAATCTTCAACCGGTTAACCTTCATCATCGCACATGTAAGGTATTGGACACACCTTAAACATGTGTCAAACACTCGAGTATGATATATCTACACGTTTTAGTGTAGGAGAATGTAGAATCCATTTGAACACAAGAGAGACAATTACATTAGCAAGTCAATCAATTTTACTTGCTGGCGAACTAAATCAACTTGTTTATTATTTTTACTAAATAATTTATGATCGGTAAACATAGGAGAAAAATAAAAATGCCATTTAATTATTAATTTATTATCAAAGCAGTATCGAATTTTACTAAAAAGAGAAAAAGAAATGTGTGGTACTCAAAAAATTATTATCAAGTGGTAGTATTTTTTAAGTGGCTGTTAGGTGTGTACAAATCCGATATTCGTGGTGTGTACGTTACTGGTTTGTTCTAAAATGCGCCGCTGGTTATGAAGCAAGTAGCAACAATACCCTAGGTCTAGGCAGATATGATATGAATGATCATAAGCAATCGAGCAGGTGGGGACAACGGACCAGCTACTATGGAAAATGCCATGTGGGCCCCTTGATCCTCGTGATGGTGACATCGTGACTCAGCAATACGTTGTCGGCCACGTTCATACTTCATACCCGGTAATTTAATTAAGTCCACATCCATACACACACAGATATATATATATATATATATATATATATATAATTTATATATATATATATATAAATATAATAATAAGTGAACAATTCTATATATATATATATATAGAATTGTTCACTTACTATTTGCTGTGCAGAAAGGTGTATACATATCTCACTTCAAATATTAATTGTTAAATTCAATTGAACATTTAAAAATATAATTTATTTTTTTATATTTAATAATTAAAATTTAATTTGTGCATAAATTTTTTATATACTAATGAATGGATGAACAGTTATATATATATATATATAAAGATGATACAAACAGGATATAGTGCATAAATAGAAAGTCTTGTAGGTCCCGCTTTACGCATATAAAAGATACCAATATGTCTGAAGGAGGATTTTATTATGCATAGGTCAATGGTGGAATTGTCACGGTTCAGCCTAGCCAAGTTGGTTGGTAGTGATGGACTCTGAGAATTATATGAAAGGGGCGTTTTTTTATAATAATAATAATATATAATATGGTATAATTAAAAATTGAGTGGAGATATTTTTTAGTTTTTTTATAAAAATAATTAGTATATTTTTTAAATTTTTATAAAATTTATATATATATATATATAATTCATTAGGGGTAGCCGCCCTCACCTGAACCCTTAATGAATTTTTGATATTTAAAAGAATTGTTTTTAGTGTATTCAGTGTGGGTGTCTATTATTTTGGACGGAAGGAGCATATTTTTTAAAGTTGGTATATTTTTAATGCTAAGTGAAAATTAAATTCGAAATGTTTGAGTTTTCAATATACTTCAAGATTATTCTTCTTTATCTTCCAAAGTAGTAAATTAATCTGTAAGTGTATTTATTGTTTTGAAAAGAACAAAAATATATACTACGTATATATTTCAAAAGACCTATATTCACTCGACTACGTATCTGTGAAGTTAACTATTGATGGAAAAGAAAATCTTCAAAATATCTTGGGAAAATTACATATAAATGGAGTCAAAGTTCCATATTTACTTAGAGGCTGAGTCAAAGTTCCATATTTCTCTAAAATGGATTGCTGAGGTGGCACATGATTTTTTACTGTTTAGAAATTGTGGTGCCTAAAATACCCTTCCGCGGACGTACTACTTTTTCTTCGAAGGTACTACTTTTTTGAACTGAAGGTACTACTTTTTGGCGTCCAGGTACCATGTTTTTTAAACACCCGCGAAGGTACTACTTTTTCTCCGAAGGTACTACTTTTTTGAACTGAAGGTACTACTTTTTTGTTAGGGAAGGGTATTTTAGGCACCACAATTTTCTAAACGGTAAAAAATCATGTGCCACCTCAGCAATCCATTTTAGAGAAATATAAAACTTTGACTCAGCCTCTAAATAAATATGGAACTTTGACTCCATTTATATGTAATTTTCCCAAATATCTTTTGATATATATATATATCAAACAAATGCA